AGGAGAAATGTCAGTCATACATACATAAAATGTATATTTAATAGTACTTCTCTGTTATGCTGCGCTCAGTTTGGTGTATTTACACGTAGCTGCACTCTACTGTGTTATTTTCCTCCCACATCTAACTTCAGTGTATCGCTAGTCTGTAGTTATCTTACTGAGAGTCTTTATAGATTACAGTTGGTGGTGCTCGGCTGCTTTGTGTGCATTTAATGTGTTCTTGGAGTGGAGTTGGCCTGTTGTCTGCTAGTGCTTTAACAATATTATATTATGTGTCGAGGTTTTCTTGGTGTGTTGTTGCCCTACTGTAGAGTTCAGCGTTAGGGTTACTGGTAAAAGACCATCAAGTGTTTATATAGAGCAGCTGCTGTAACATTTGTGCTGTTGACAGTGTGGCCTGTTTTGACTCCAGGTCATCTCTGTGATATTAGTCTGCTGGTAGCCTGCGATTGTCTGTGCGTAGCACTTCTTCATTACAGCATTTCCTGTTTCCTGTTGACATCCTGGAAACAATCAGCAGTTTTATCCCTGACACCTTATCAACATAAATCTAATTATTAATCCTCAGGACATTTAGCATTACAGCAAAACACACACAACAGAGCAACTGTGCTAAATATAATTTTTTGTCAATATTATTTATTGCAGTATCGCTGTAATAGCAGTTAATCACTTAGTTGTTGTTGACATCTCATCATGAAACTGTAGGGTCAATAGAAGTTTTCCAGTCAGTTTTAGGGCGATGTGCCTCCTCATCAGCTCACTAGACCAGTGTTTGTTTGCCTCATCACAATCAGGTCATGAACTATGGCAAACAAATAAACAGACCTTGGCGTGGTAGTGTAAAATGCTCCTGGACTGCTGACTATTTGTTGTTTTTGTGTTGGCTCTAATTCTTGAAATGCAGCGGGCTCCGCCTATGCAAGATGGATGTGCATATAATAACCCTAAATTCCATTTAATTAAATTAGATCAGCAGAGTGTCAGAGATGCCAGTTGTGCTACTGGAGTCTGTATGATACCTGATGCGTCCCTATTTTCGGTTGCTCTGCAGGTCTTTGGCAAGTAGTATTTGTGGCTTCATCGTGTACCTTTTGTTGTGGTCTCTAAATTCATGGATCAAAGGAACCCAAGACACTTAAACACAAATAAGGGAGATGGCACCATGGTAAAATCAAACAAAAGAGGGAAAAGGCCTGGAACCAACCGTCATTCAGGCTTATCCTCTAAGTTAATGTCAGTAAGCAGAAAAAAGGTATTGCAATGAATTCTAAATTAAATAATAATTAAACAACACTACAAAAAGTAACTGAAGGGAAAGGCCAGTGCTGACGGGAGAGAGACCATTTGCCACCTGGTGAGAGAATTTAAAAGAAGAAGAAGAAGAAGAAAGCAATCAGAGGGTGAAGAGACAAACACATCAAGACTTCTACAAATTATTTTGAACTGACAGGGCTCAGAATATATTACTTTCAAGGTCACTGTGTTCCATACAGTCATAACATTTTACCATAACCGATTATGTATTTCTTGTAAACTAGCTGTTGATTTCCAGAAGAAGGGGCACGGACAGATAGCCATGTCTATGATACTGACTGTCTTGTATTTAATTTTACACTCCCAGTTATTATTGCTCCCCTGCTTTGTCTTGTTTATAGTCAAATGGTAGAACAAAAAAAATCAGTGATTTATGTTCAAAACTTCAAAGAAGTGACAGAATTGTAGTTCATTTTATATCGAGGACCCGCTACAGCCCACTTTGATCATAGGTGTGCCAGACCAGTAAAACTCCCTCTGTAATTATGTTTGGGACTGTCTGTGATATTTATGTTTATGTGACAACTGAAATGGTACACTTGAATGTAATATAATGATGGTCAGTGGAGCAGGTCGTGTGGTCATTTAGTGTTTTTTTTTGTTTTTGTTTTTGTTTTTTTTAGACTGGGTTGGGGCTAAAGTAATTATAGAGGCCTGACTAAATCTGACTAAGTCGATTTTTACAGACTGTCTGCTCATTTTCCTGAATCCATTTTCATTTCTTCACCAAACATTCAGAATCAGAGGATTTTTGTGTGGCAATACTTAATGCTGAATAGATGTTGTCTTTTTATAAAATGGACTGTCAGACTACAAGGACAGCCATTATGTAGAGAAACAGGACAATGACACGTTTAGGTTCAGTAAAAATATGTAATAA